AGGATCAATTAAAATCTCTTACCTTCCAAACACTTTGCCAAATTTTATTTAAAGATCCTTTTGTCGTTTCTAGGTTTGAAAATAAAGTAGAACCTGTGTAAGCTGACCACCCAAGCTACCCTAACAAACTAGTCAACATACAAAGGTGGTCAACATAAAAAGGAACTAGGCCTACTGTACTGATAGGCACATGTGGTGCATGTCCAGTCTATGAAAATTAGGGCAACTTAAGGAGATGGTCAGTGTAGGAAGGTGGTCGACTATGGAGGTTCCACTGTAGAAGTTATTGAGCTATACTTTTGCAAAATTAAAATGAAATTTTTTCCTCAAAATGGAACCACATCAAATCTGAGTTTAATGATTTAGGTAGGAAACCAGTGATGAAATGTAATCTATGCTTTCTAACTGCCAATGTTACTAATACAGACGATGTTAGATCTTTACTTTTTTGACTTATTCAGTAAATGTTTAAGGAATACCTACTATATGCCAAACTAAGTCCTGGGGATACAACCACAAATTAGACATGACGCTTGCTCATAACAAGTTGAAGGTCTTTTAAGGAGGCAGGTGAACAAACAGAGGTCAGTTCCTGGGTCAGTGTTAAAATGGAACCAACCACAAGCCGTAATGCAAGGCATAGGAGGGGCGTTTTGTCACGTCTTACAGGTGGATGTAGAGGGTCAAGGAAGTTTCCCAAAGCCTAAGCTGAGATTCAAGAAAACTGGGCCAGGGAAGGAGGGATGGAGCAGAAGGGGCTGCGGAGATGTGGTTGGAGAGGGCATGGCAGGGGCAGGACATGGTAATATTGAGGCTATAGAGTGGGCAGAAGCTAGTGCTGATAAGCCTTTGAGAAGACTTTGACTTTTCATCCTAAAAGCATTAGCAAGTCTTTGAAGGATTTCGAGCAAGAAAGTGTCATGATGACACTTTAGAAAAATCACTTTAGAAAAATCACTTAGGCTTCTATATAGAGAATGGCGTAAAAGAAAAGCAAGACCGGACCAAGAAAGGCACGGAGGTCGCTGCAGAAATACAGATAAAAGGAAAGGAGATTTACACTACATGTAGTTGGGAGGTATACATAGAGGGGAGGAAAGATGAACTAAGTCTGAAGCAGGAAGACCTCATGATTGCTTAGGAGAAGGTGTGTAGGTGTTAGGGAGTGATGCACTAAATTGGGTGAATATTATTTTTAAAATCAGTGTTGATTGAATAAATGGATTACTGTAAGGTTTTATGGAATATATAAATATAATTAGTAATTAATCAGTGAGACTATTCCAGCCTGCAGTTCAAGAGACATATGGGCTGGGTGTATAAATTAAAAGTTTTATATTACAGATATATTGAATTTTCCATTCCAGTCTCTCTGTATGTGTAATCACTTGGTATCATTCATCTGTCGCTCTGTAACAATATTACCTCAAACTTTGCAACTTGAAACAACACACATTTATTACCTTTACAGTTTCTGTGAATCAAGGAGTCCAGGCATGGATTAACTAAGTCCTCCATTTGGGGTTTCAAAATGTAGCAATCAAATTGTCAGCCAGGATGTGGTCTCACTGAGCCCAGCTAAGGAGGGATCTGCTTCCAAGGTCACTGAGGCTGTTGGCAAGAGTAGCCCTCAAATTGTAGAGGCAGCCTGTGGTTCCTTGCCCCGGGGGGTTCCCACATGGCTGCTGAGTTCCTCAAACCAGCAAAAGGGGGAGAGGTTGCAGCAAGATGGATGTTACGATGGGATGTTACACAATCTTGTAACTGTGCCCTGCATCACATATATCCTGTCTCCTCTATCGTAGACTCTAGGTTAGAAGCAAGTCACAGGGCTCGTCCACATGCAAAGGGAAAGGATCAGACAAGGTCTTAACACCAAAAGGTGGGGATTGTGGGGTCTCTTTGCCACACCTTCTCTCACATCCCTTGGTCACTCCATGCTGCACTCTTCCGTCCATTCCTTCTGAGTCTTCCAGGCCCCGATTGTCAGTCTCCACATAATCCACGCATGTATTTTAAATTCAATTACTTCTTACTTTCTAGACATTTTAGTATCATACAAATCACACTTTTCCTCTGTGTCCTATTTTTTCGCTATGATTGCTATTATTTTACTTTCATACCTCCTTATGAACCTGTTCATAGTCTCTTTCCGGCTGTTCTATTATTCAAGCTTGTGGAGTGATCACCCTTCTGTTTTTGTCTCTGCTAAATTTTACTCACAAAAGAGTTTTTTCCTTGCACTTAGTAATTTTTTTATGGGTGATTACAACTGTGGAAGGATTTTTCTCTTCCCCTGG